ATACATGGAATAGCAAATAGTATTTCTTATGATCTCGTCCCAGAGAATTTATGACAGTTGTGCTAAATTTCCATTTACTGAGTAATTACTATATTCCAGGCGCTAGGCTAGGTATATATTTACAACATCCTATTTAGTCTTCATAAGGACTTTGCAAAATCTGTATCATTCATTTCATTTTCTGCATGAAGAAAATGATATTCAGAAAGGTACATAATGGTCTCAAAGTCACCAAGTTGTTTACATGTAGAACCAGGACTAGAATCTAGAATTTCCTTCCTTTCTTCTTTTCTTTCTTCTACCTTAAAGTCCTTGCTCATAATAGTTTCACCACTTTGCATAACTGATCAGCAGTGTAAAAGCCCATGAATTTCACCTTCATGAAATAAATCTAAATCTTTTTTTTTGGATTCTCTGTGACATAGCCTGATTTGCTTTTTAAATTTAAAAATTCTATGATATTGTGATTTCTAAGATATATCTATGTATTTGGTCTTCACCCCCATTTCTAGTCCAAAGTTCCTAAAGCCTTTGGAATTGATGAGTGCAATAAAATTTTTTTAATTAAAAAATAAAAAAACCTTTGGAAGTGATAATAGTACGGGTGTCTTTTTTTATGCTAATGAGGCGACTTTTAGACCTCACCTAAGCAGGTAGCCAAGAGACTCAACCATGAAATTAGATGGTTGCAACTTTTAGTTCTACCCTCCCACTTCTGGGGAGAGGAGAGGGACTGGAAATTGAATCAGTCTACAGTGGCCAGTGATTTAATCAACTGTGACTATGTAAAAGAGCTTCTATAAACACCCAAAAGGATAGGGTTCCGACAGCTTCAGGTTAGTAAACATGTGGAGCTTTGGAAAGAGTGGCACAATTGGGGAGAGCAGCACACTTGGAGAGAGCAGGGGAGCTCCCTGTCACCGTATCTTGCCCTGCACATCTCATCCACATGGATGTTTATCTATATCCTTTATCATATCCTTTTATAATAAACCAGTAATCCAGTAAGTAAAATGTTTCTCTGAGTTCTGTGAGCTGCTCTAGTAAATTAATCAACACCAAGGAGAGCGTCATGTGAATCTTTAATTTATAGCCACTCCTCAAAAGTACAGGTAACAACCTGGGCTTGGGACTGGCATCTGAAGCAGGGGAAGGGGCTGTTTTGTTAAGACTGAACCTTTAACCTGTGATACCCGATGCTGTCTCTGGGTAGATAGTTATGGAATTGAGTTGAATCGTCAAACTTCTTGCATGTGTCCAAGAATTGCTTGTAGGTGGTGTGGGAAATGACCCCTCCTTCCACACATGGAAATTTGGGTCCCAGAACACTCATTTAAAATCATTCCAGACTTCCACTCAGAAATGAAAACCTACTTGAAAAGCTACGGATCCTTGATTGTGTCACTGAAAAACAGAACAGAAACTACAGCACTCTAAGAAAAAGTGGAACAGGAGATCGTCAGTGCGGCCTTACAGTTGGCATGCTTCACTGGGAATCAGAGCAGAGTAGACAAGCATCTGTCATCAAATGTTGCAAAGGCCACTGCCCCAGTTAAACTGTTGTGAACTGGGGCACTTGAGTCTGAGTAATTCAGGGCTTTTATTTTCAGCACATGTCCCCATTCATTCCAGTAGAAATGAAGGCCATCTCTTGATTTCAAAAAATGTGCCATTTACTTGTTGCACATAATCTATAACTTTCATCCAACCAGTAAAAACAGAAAAGTGAAAAAATGTTACATTCTCAGATAAAAGAAGTCGAAAGCATTTGAGTAAAAGGGAGAGTGAAAAATTTGCTAGGGTCTGTTCAACCAAAAGATGTATTTCTAGTTGTGTTCCCTAAATGTGCTTCCTTCCCCTTATAATTTGTTCTGTAACACGTCCTACTGGCCCCAAACAGATACCCTAGTTTATTAACCAAGGAAAATGCCTCCATTCCATACAAGCCCATACAATGCAAACGCTACTTGGAATGAGGAAAAGGACCTATATTTTGTGAGATTTTTGTATTCAAATGCTAACTAATCTGCATAGCTTATTTCAACTAGAGATCAGAAATGGACCACTTGATCATGTACGTGCTGCTTTAGCCCTGTGAGCCACTCTGGATTCTTCCTCTATATTATTATTGTGCTATTTTTTTCCTAGCAGGTAAAGCCCTGGTTTTATCTAGGGAAAAGGGCTAATCTGAGTAGAGTAAGTGGTAGACACATTCATGGCCATGGGAAGATGCAGTAAGGTTTTTGCACAGTAACAGGCAGGGTTATGCTGTAGTTGTGAGCTCTGGAATCAAGCTCTCCTGATTCAGATCCTGGTTAGTGGCTGAGTATTGGGCAAGTAATTTAGTCGATCTGTAATTCAGTAGCTTCATATGTAAAACAGAGGTGTGATAAGAGCGCTTCATAGAGTTATTGTGAGGACGGAGTGAGTTAATAATATAAAGCATCTAGATCAACCTATAGTAAGTCTTCAGGAAATATCAAAATTACAAAAATTTAACACATGCATTTTCTCATGTTATCATTCTTCCAAGATATTTTCACAGTTACCTAGTATTCAACCATAGAGATGAAAAATATTTGACTTCCCTCACTGCCTGTTGTAGTATATTTTTAGACCATTTTAAATTTTTCACAGTTATGCATTTGTTTATTTTTTTCAAATTAACCTTAAAATCACTTTGCCAACTTCAAGAAAAATACTCCTAGAATTTTAATTGGAATTATATTAAGCCTATACATTTATTATGAGGAGGTTCTTTTGCAAAGTCGAGTTTTCTCATCCCGAGATACACTATTTCCTGTCTACATATCTAATCTTCTTAAAAATTGCCTCTAATGTTTTATAATTATTTTCATAGTGGTTATCTATATTTATTTTTACATTAATTCTTACGTATTTCATAATTCTGCCATTGGGAACTATTAAATAGAATTTATTTTTATTTCTTGCTGTTATGAAATATTTAGTATTTTGTTTATGTGGCTTTTTATACAGATGTTATAATTTTTCATAGTAAAGAAATCAAGATTTTTGGGGTGTAACTGTTTTTATACACAGAAAAAAATGTGAACCTAAATCCTGAATTAAGAGCAATTTTTACCTGTAACTTTTTTTAAAAAAATAAAGCACTTTCTAAAAGGTAGAAATTTTAAATCCATAATGTAAAAGTACCTCTAAGAAATAGGATGATGTCATAGAGAAATCTAGCTTCATCTCCCTTAAACAAAGAGCCAGTAAGATCATCTTAGTCCAAACAGAAAGAGCAAGAACTTAAGAAGACTCCATGCTTCATTAACAGGTTCATTAATGAGTTAAAAAAGTACAGAAGTCTAACATTTATCACAGCCCTGCATTCTTTTCTACACATTCCTCCTTAGCACTCTTCTCATATTTCTGTAGTTGTCTTGTTTATTTATTGTTTACTTGTTTGTTGTCTATTTTCCCCCCACTCCCAATGTAATTCATATTAGGGCTGCAGCCTTGGTTGTCTTGTTTATTACAATGATCAACACCCACTGTAGGAGAGAAAAAAAAATTCTCTTCTTCCCTTCTAGGTTCTTTGGCTGGCCAAATAATTAAATTTGACCCTAAGACAGTCAATTGACAGGAAATATATTTGACATAAGATAGATAAACAGGAGAAAACAAATTTAATGTCATATATATAGGAGACTCAAAAATATGAGACCCAAGAATAAGTCAAGCAGTTGACTGTGCCATCCTGAGCTAAGGAATGGGGCAGGAGTCTGGAGATTCAGAGGGGAGGAGGGTCATTCACAGGACAATCACAGGAGCAGATGTTTGGTAATTAGATATCTGCCCTACCATTAAGATAGGTCTTTTGAATAAAAAGTTAGCTCTGGAAATAACCCTCTTTCTGGGCCAGGCAACCTGTCTAAATTATTTTAGGTAGTTAAGGGAGAAGTAAAATTGTTTTGAGTTTGCTGGGTCTTGGTTGCCTTCAGCTGAAAATAATTCACATGCCACAGTGACATATTTGGGGGTCACATTCTGCTCCCCCTCACCAATCACAATCTCATTTGTTCATTCATTCATTCATTCAATAAATATGTGTTAATCTCCTATTCTTTGTCAGAAACTATTATATATAAACAAGGACTCTGGCTTCAAAGTGTTCAGAGATTGAAATCAAAGAGGAGAGAAAGAAAGAAAAGAGGTAAATAAATAATTTCAGGTAATTGGAAGAACTACTGAGGTATAAGTTGATGGAATAGATTGAGCAAAGTGGGGAGGGGTACTACGTCAGGAAGAACAGCCAGTAAAGGCCTCTCTAAGGAGGTAAAATATGAACAGACCTGACTGATATGAAAGATGTGTAGGGAGAATGTTGCAGGTACACTGAATGAGTATAAAGGTCCTGAGGTGGATAAACTTGGCGGTCTGAGAAGCAGCAATAAAACCAGTGAACAGCAGAGAGAATGGAAAGAGAAGAGGTCAGGAAAGCAGAATATGGTCAGTCAGATCCTTCTTCCCTCAGCTGGAGCTTCTCAGACTTTGTTGAGGCATGCACATCGTCTGGAATCTTGTTACAATGCAGACTGATTCAGTTGATCTGCGTTAGGTTTTCAGATGGAGCTCAAATCACGTGTGACTGCACCGAAGGGTAGTGTGTCGGCTGCAAGTTAGAGTTTTGGGGGCAGGGGCTGCAATTCTGAATTCCTAACAAGCTTTCAGAGGAAGCTGGGTACCGCTCGTTGAGTAGCAAGCTTCTGAGCAATAAAAAGGAGGTTGGATTTTATTGTAAATATGAGTGAAAAATCATAAAAGGGTCTTGGACTTGGGATGACACAATTTATTTACATTTTGTAAAGGATCATGAATGCTGCTATGTGTAGAAAAGCCTGTTGGGGAGACAGTGTAGCAGCGAGAAACCAGTTAGGAGATGGCTTCAGTCAAGCAACAGGTGATGGTAGTGTTGGCAGTGAAGGCACTCAGGAGACATGGTCAAATTTGGGATATATTTTGACTATAGACTCAACAGGATTTTCTGTGGATTAGATGTTGGATGTCAAAGTAAAAGAGTGATGAAGACAGACTACTAGTTTTTTAGAGTGAACAGCTGGGTGATTTGTGATTCCTGTTGTAGAGGTGAGTAAGTTGGGAGGAGGAACAAAACAGAAGCGAGGGTTTGGTTTCAGATATGCTATTTTTGAGAGTATTATATTAAAAATCAAATGAAAGTATTAAGTTATATACCTATAAAGAGCTCAAGGGAGAGGTGGAAATTTGGGAGTCATCAGATTTTAAAGCAATGCAATTGAGTGAGTTCATCTAGCAAGTGAGTACAGACAGAGAGGAAACTTGAGAGTTGAGAAGAGGAAGAAAAACTAGCCAAGGGGATAAAGAAGGAGCCAATAGTGAGGTAGATAAAAATGGACGAAAAGACAAAAGCCTAGTAAAGAAGTGCTTCAGCATGTGGGGTGGAGGAAATTGGTGAGGAGGGAAATCAAATACCTCTGGGGGTTTACACAACATGAATGAATGAGAGTTGACCATTGGATTTAGCAAGATGTAGAGGTTGTTGCTGATTTGACAAAGGTGGTCTTGGTGAATAGAGTGATGAAATTTTGACTGCAAAAAAGAGAAGTCATAGTGCTAAAGTGGAACCAGAGACAATGGCCACCCTTTCAAAGATTTTTGCCACTGAGAAATGAGCCATAACTGGAGAGTGATGTTGAGCCAAAGGATTTTTATTTTAAGATAAGAGATATTGAAACATGTTTATGTGCTGATATGAATGATAGGTCAAGAGGAAAACACTGGTTACACAGGTGGAGGGGCTGCATGTGGAGAGGAAAAGAAGTGAAAAGAGAGAATGTGTGACAAGAGGGAGTGTGTGTGTGTGTGCGTGCGTGCACATATACATAAACATATATACACATTTGTCTATAAAGATGCATGTAGGTTGACATATCTTGTGATGGGAAGATGCATTTTTCTCCTGGATATTTCTTTCAATGAAATAAGAAAGGTCATCAACTAACAGTAAGAAAGGCATATTGCAGATTTGAGCAGTGAAGAAATGGTGTGTCACAATCATTTCAGAAAGTGAGAAAGCAAATTTATAGGGTAATGTAATAGGACTCAAAAGGCAATACTGAGCAGCCATTTAAGATACAGTAATACAATTAAAGAGAAACAAGTTGGATTTCCTCCAGTTACCTTCATCTATTTAGGGAGCAAATGGCAAGGTTACTGAGGATGTATGTATTCAAGGGAGAACATATAGTAACGGACCATACATCTAAACCAAGTAAGAAGGAAGTGAGGGCTTGAAAAAGTGGTGAGTCAATGCGTTGTTCACATGGGACCAAACAACAGTTGTGAAAGTAAATGAATTGAAAGACAGGAGATTCTTTGACTCTCAGGTAAATAAAACCCTAAATAGCCCTCCCCTACAATTCTCCACAGGTGCTGGACAATGTGACTTTAATCACTTGTGCACAGCCTGAGTCATCATGAAGTTTTCTGAAAAGACTCACTGCAGATTTCCTTTACCCAGTCAGCCTATGATTTTATTTACTCACAATTTCTCAGAAATACATCTATCGAGAAAAGCAGGGTCCATCAGTACAACTATCTTCCTTTATAAAGCATTCTAAACTGTTTTAATGCACCAACCCAAAAGCAAATCATCATTCAAACCAAACAGCCTATTAGAGCCCCATCCTTAAGTGCTGTTTTGTCTCTCTGCTTATTATTCTCTCAACAGCAATAAAATAGAAATCATATTACCAAATTTGAATGCTAATACATTTCCAGGATAATCTGCACAGCAAACAAACAGAATCCTGTAATGCTGTCTCAAACGCTCTTCAAAAAACTGTTAGGAGAGCAAAAAGTCCATAAAGTAAGGCACAAGGGTAGGCAATGAGAAGCTGCTGTCCTTCCATGTCCAGGGCAGAAATGAAAATTTTGGAGGCTGAGAGACTGCACCAGCCGATGATGACCAGGGCCGACACCATTCCAAAGATGCCCCTACGGCAAAGACAGAAGAGATGGTTATCTTACACCTGGAGAAAAAGAGATTATTGAACCACAGCTGCCTCTGGAATGTCCTTGGTGCAATATTTATAACGACTTTCTCCATTTGTAAAATGAGAGTGAGGAAATAAAAAACTCAAAGGCCTCAGCCAGTCAGAAAATTTTTGAGTCAGGTTCACGAACAGAAGCTAAATATTGTATAGATCAGTAAAACTCAAGTTAATACAAACAGAAGAACTGACCTGCAGTCACTCTCATATGTTAATATTTCAAATCCCAACTTCTGAAATTCTTCTATGTAAACAGTTTAGAGGGTTTTTTTTTTATAGCTACAGATTTCTTTGCCCCATTTTCTTCCTGAATTTACCTGTAATATGAGCAGAAAAATAACTGGCCTTGCATTCCAGCGGGGTTCCTACTCCCTAGTCTCCCAGGTCCGTTTCCAGGTTTCTATCTGAGACAGCAAAGCCTCACGAGGCTCATGTAGGGGAGGCACTTGATGTGTGTGGCTCCTACCTCATTGCTAAAGATCCCTTCGGTTGGTGTTCATGTGGATTATAATAATATTGAGATCTATTTGTTCAAATTGGTGTCTTCAAAAGGAACTGTGGAGGCAATTGGTTCTTTAGGGAGAAATGGGAATAGACTGACTTGACAAAAATTGCACAGTAAAATGGGCACTAGGTCCAGAACTGCGACTCCGGGCAGAGAGTTCTAGTCACCACCAACTCCACTGCCTCACCTGATCCTGGTTGAACCTGAAATTGAGAATTGTGTTTCTTATTTGTGAGAAGGACAAACATACCTCCTTTTAATAATTGAACCAAAGCAAAATAAGTGAAAAAGTGTACAATATAGTTTATAATGCCTTAGATTATAAATAAATAAATAATATTTCAAGATACTTTAATTAATATTTTATTTATTGGTTTCATTAATCTCTGTTAAAAATAAAATTTAGAGTGATTACATTTACAGGTTTTTGTGAACAAAAATGTGAGATTATACATGATTAATTTGAATGTTACAGTAATATGCCCTAAAAGGCAATTTCAGTCTAATGGTCTTAGGGGTCAAATAGTTTATTCTTCATTAATAAAATTCAAAGGATTTCTAAATTTTTACATTTCAGAATGAAAATCTAATGCAAAAGGTCCAGACTTCTGATGATTCTCAAAATTTAGGACTTTTTTTTATCTTCTTTCCCTAATAATCTGGAGCCATTTAAGACACCCCAAAGCTCAACGTTGCTAGAAATAATGTCTAAAACTTAGAACTTTTCAATGGCGGATCATTATAGTATTCTTTGGCAAAAGCATCAGACAAAATAGAAGTTGTAAAACTGAACTCTGTAGTAACTCATCAGACATCCGTACCAAACAAAGTAGTAAACAGAATAGCTTGCTAAAGAACATGATATAAAAAAGCGGAATTTTTCCATGGACAAGACAATAAATATACCTATAACTCACATCGTATTTACACATTCAAGGTTTCCATTTTCTGTTGTATTCCTTTTTTTCACTCTCTGGTAAACTAAGGGTTTGCTCTATGCTATTCTCAAGGATGCCGCTTTCAAAGTGAAACCATATTAAAACAAAAAAAGCATTTCCCTCAATAACATAATGAAGAAATTATTTGAGATTTAAATGAAAATATTAAAGGCTTTCTAAAATGTTTACCTTTGCATTGGCAAATTCTTTATGTAATACCCTAATCCAATGTTAATAACCTAAAACTTGGATCACCCACAGAAAAATCTGAATTGTGTCTCCTTTGGATGTGGAAGAATGCACACTGATGGCAAATGTTTATTTCTAATTGTGTTTGGAGCGTGGCAGGTGCAAAGGGCTATGTGATTACTTGCTGTCCTCAACCAAAGTGGTAGTGATGTGCAAATGCCTGGGGGACGTGCCCCACAGAAGCATATCTACTGGATCCTTATTAATATTTTTGAATTGCAAATCCTAACGGCACAGGAAGTAAAAAAGAAAAAAAAATGACTGAGCATATATGCCATGAAGTTCTCTAGCATTAATATCCTCATCAGGGTTCCTAGGGATTCTGCACTCCAAGGAGCCCAGCTGAGAAGAAACAGTTGCTTCCCTCGTAGAAGCCAGAGTGCCTGGGAGCTGAAGCAATTTGTCTTACTCCTCCAAATTCAAACAAGTGAATTTTCTGTATTTGGTATATGACCGATGACAGTAGTTCACATTGAAGAATGCGACAACTTACAAAGTGCCAGATTTGAAGATAACTTGGTTTAATTTCATTTTTAAATCATTGAAATAGGAACTGCACCTAAGCCAAAACTGACCTACTTTCCCAACTCTCTATGTGGCTTTTAATAGCCTGTTTACCCAATTCCACTACCAAAATGATCAGAAAGAGGTTGACCGTCGCATGGGTGTGGCAAGCCTGAGCGATGATTGTGCACATGGGGTCAATTAGCGCCCACAGACACTCACTGCAGGGAACAGAAGATGGCGCAGCTGGACAGGATGACCATGGGGAGCAGGCAGTAACCCAGCACACTGGCCACGCAGCCACAGGACACCCCTGAGGAGCTCATCAAGTTTAGTAAGGCGTGAATCCCTAGGCAGCCGATGGCGCTCATGCCGTACACATAACCAAACTGGACTTTTCCTGCCTGGAACAACGGGAAGAAAACAGTTTCAACACATAACAAACATCAAGAAGGTATCAGAATGTCAACAAAGCAGAGAGTAGTTTAGAATTAATCGGCTCAAGGCTGTTTGTATCTTTGTCAGATAAGCATCAGGAGACTGGGGAGTTCTGGAAAAAACACTGGCTACGACACGGATTCACGTCATGAAAACAGACACCCCCAACTATACATGGGATGGCACAGGCATGCTATAGAAAAGACAAAATATTTCTAGGTTAAATTTTTTTGTCGTAGATTGCCTATTAAGGGTACCAGGCACAAGTAAGGATGTATCTTCTCCCCACATTTGTTGAATAATTAAAAGAATGAATAAATTAATGAAAAAAATCTCAACTTAGTCTTGGAGATTTACAAGACGTATTCATAGTATCAGCAGAAACCTATAGGATTTACTATGTTAGGTTCTATTCTAAGCATTTCACATATACTGATTTATCTAATCTACACAACAACATAATGAGTGGGTACCATTACTGTACCCATTATACAACATGAGGAAACTGAGGTGCAGAGAGGTGAAATAAAGTGCCCAAGGTAAAATAATGCTAAGTAGTGGAGCTCGGCTTTGAACCCAGGCAGCCTGGCTCTAAAATTTAGGTCCTTACCTTTGGCAGGAGCTCTCGTAAATTCTAAAACAATGGAATTTATTTAACCTTACTTAACCCAGCATATCCCAAACTTATCTGACCTGCAGAATCCTTTGTTTTCATAATGCCTATTACTGGTTTGACTGAACAGACCTTTTGAAAAGCTGACTTGTGTAAATCGGTGGGTAATGAATCACAAAGGAAGTATTGTTAAAGGAAGTCAGTAGTGCTAAGGATATACCACTGATCTTGTGAGGAGTCAGAAAAATAGCCACCATCCACAGAACACTGGAGACTAGTCACTGAAGTAGCTCCATTTAACTCACCCAGGGAAGGTCACAATCTACTACTGATTCAACAGGGGCTGTTAGATGTTTGCAACCTGAGAATGCCGAAGCTCCAGGAAAGAATACTTATACATACATTAAGCTGCTTATGTATGCATTAAGCTGGTCAGAAATTAAAGAGAAAACTTGAGGAGGCTGACTCCGATTTTCATGGGAATTACACAAAAACAACGAAGAATCTGGTAAATTGATTGTGAGAGAAATTTTTTAGCTGTCCTTTTTTTCCCTCTTCCATAGCTATTATCCATGAAGTCCTTATGTCTCACAGAATAAAGAGATATTTATTTTGCAGTTAATTAATGGAGAATATTATGACCATTTTTAATGTTAAAGATTGCCCACCTATTTTGAATTTTTCTTCCTCTGCAGTTGGGGAAATTGAACACTACTAAGGCCTTTCACAAAATGTCCCTGGGCTGTATGCGGCAGGATGCTCTGCTGCATTAGCCATAAGTCCTTCTGAATATTTTGTGAAATAATGCTAATAATGCTAATAATGCTAATAGGCATGCTAAATAATGCTAAATAATGCTATTAATGCAAATAGGCATGAAACACATCTCTATTGTGTGAGTCTGTTGGAAAATAGTGACAATTTCAAATCACTTTCATGTGCTAGAGAAACATTCGACTTAATATTTTAGTTGGATGGGATAATTCTTAGGTGGGGATCATCATAAGAGTGAAACACTACTTCCCTACACGCAAAGGACACATAGCTGGACCATGATCCTTACCAGTTTTGTGACTGGAATAAGTAGAGAGTAGGTAAGACTAATTTGGCAGTCCAATTGTCCTCTTCTGTAAGAGTTACTGACCTCTCTATCCCTTTTTCTAGTTAGTTTATCCAATTTAAGGTGCAATTCCATTTGGCAGGGGCCACCCTTGTTTTTTAATTTGTTTCAAATTCTAACAAGGACTTGTAGTTGAAATGGAAATAAATGTTCATTTTCTTTTTAACTTCAAAATTTCTCAGATCATCCGTGTACCACCCTGATTACTATATCTTTATTTGAAATACTTCTTATTCTTCTGATTATGCTTCTGCATTGGTTGTGTATGTTCCTTTTGCAGATCACACTGTCAGCTCAACTAGAAAAATTAAATGGAACCATAGCTTTAAAATACTTGTGTTCGTGTTTTGGGATGAAAATAATTTTAGGAGGAAGAATGTGTTGTGCGTTTGAAGAGGTTCTTTCTGGTTTGCTTCCTTCAACATGAAGAAAGTCCACTAAAAGGTATAAAGTCTTATTTCAACATAAATCGAGTATGAGACTATGAATTTCACACCTGCAGAGATAATGAACAGATTTGAATATTGTTTCTGGATTTAGTTTTGCTTTCTCTAGTATAATGTATATACCAGCCCAGAAAATCATACTTTATATTTTAATTTCCAATATTCAGGGCAAGGTTAACTTAGCTTCAAATGGATTCTTTGTTAAATCTGTCTTTATTAACACCCAGTTGACTTTTTTGTTCTTATTGTTCTACATGGATCAGAATCAATCCTGATGTAATCACGTCTAATGGTAAAACGGAAGTGAAAATGTTTGCCTAAAAAGTTTGAGAAAATATGCATTTTCATCTATTCTCCAAAATTTCAGAACTGAAAGGAACCTTAAGAACCACTTCTAAAAACCTTTCTTTTTGTCTTCAAAATGAAGAAACTGAAGACCTAGATATAGGAAACAAAAGGTTCAGGATCACACCTAGAGGCAAAGTTAGGGGCAGATTCAGTTTTTTCACTTCCAGTTCAGTTCTTCGCCTGTATTGCTTTGCGCTTAAAACAAAAAAGAGGATATTTAAATAATTCCAACTAACATTATGCACCCAAAAAAGATCTTAATGAGATTAATGATTTCCTTTAAGAGATGGTAATGGTAGTATTTTCCATGGAAAAACAAACAGCTGTTATATTGCAAATTACTTGAAAAAGAAAGATCAGTTAATATATTAAATTGTTTCTGATTATTTGTTTCATTCAAATGATCTTACTTACCAGCTTAATCTAAGATTATCAAATTACCAAGACAAAGACAGAAGCCATGTTAGAGACTAAATTAAAACTCTAGTTGATGTAGTGTTAGATTTGCAGAGTATTTGGATTTAATGTAGTTCAAAGGAAGAAATAAGATGCTACAACTAAGTACTATTGTATGGGATAAACATGATGTGTTTATTGACCATGTTACGATGCAGAAACTAGATTTCTATCAGAATTTTGATAAGCATTATGTATCTAACAATGAAAAATGAAGATTGATTTAATTGGGAATATTTTTTACAGCTACTTTTGAGAAGTATAGCTACACTGGGGAAAAAGCAGTTGTTTTAATGGGAAGTGGAGAGCTATAACAAGGGGAAATAAACTGAATAATTATTTTAAGGGCTTTTCCTAGAATCTTTGGTTTCTTATGTCATGTCTCTTGCCGAGTTTATCTCTTTGTGCCTTAATGAAACTGTACTTTTCAGATGTTTTGACCATCTTTTTCATCCACTGTTTTTAATATACTATCATTATCTCCTTAGTATAAAATCACAGAACTTTCTCATGTCTTCTATATCTCCTTTGAGGGGAGGAGGGGAGAAAACATTTTTTTCTAAACTATAAGCTAGAATGTCTTCTAAACTTACTTAGGTGGAAATATGTTTTTCTTTCTTGGTGACCCATAATGTTATTACCTTCAGATTTAAAGAGTGAATGAGGCTCCAAAAGCCCACAAATGACAAATGCTGGAGAGGCTGTAGAGAAAAGGGAGCCCTCCTACACTGCTGGTGGGATGCAGTTTGGTGCAGCCACTGTGGAAAACTGTATGGAGATTCCTCAAAAGACTAGGAATAGACTTACTATATGACCCAGGAATCCCACTCCTGGGCATATATCTGGAAGGAACCCTACTTCAAAAAGACACCTGCACCCCACTGTTCATAGCAACACTATTTACAATAGCCAAGACATGGAAACAGCCTAAATGACCATCAAGATGACTGGTTAAAGAAGTAGTGGTATATTTATCCAATGGAATACTATTCAGCCATAAAAATGACAACATAATGCCATTTGCAGCCACATGGATGTCCCTGGAGAAT